CCCCTACCCCCGCCGCCAACACGTGCTCTCCCCCACCCAGGGCAAGGCCAAGCCCCTGACGCATGCGCACCTCAGCAGGCCCAACCCAGAGCAAAGAGCGGGAAGCAGAAAGGCAAGAGAGGAGGTCTCTAAGTGGATACACTGTTGCTGAGTCTAGACGCCAGAAGAACCTTCCAGGCTGCGACTCACAGTTCTAGCACTGCCTAGGAGATCGTGGTGGCCCCAGCTTAGAATCTGCAGAAGCACACAGCTCCATCCATACCACTCAGGGTATGGAGCCTCTGGACCAGTCTAGCCAGGATATCACCAGCTTGCTCAGCCTTGGAGTCGACTACGAGAAGGAACTACAGGGTCAGTACCTGAATAGGACTCATGCTTTTGCGAACTCAGGAAACCGAGGTTCCCTGGGAGAGGCAAGTCGACTGGATGATGCCCCCGCACTACCACTGCTCTGAGTGCAGCCCCTCACCGCCTCCTTCCAACACCCTCAGGACCAAGGCCTTGATCTTTCTCTTGGGGTTTCTGCTTTTCCAGATATGAATGCTGCGGTGCTGTCGCCTACTGAAGAGTTCAAAGAGGAGGAAGAGGATGCGCAGTCTGAGCCTGGGCAAGGCACAGCAGCAGCAGGAGAAGAGTCAAAGTTGGCAGGAGCCCAAGGCGGAGAAGAAAAAGATGGCGGCGGCGGCGGCGGCGCAGGAGCTCCTGGCCTCCTATGGAAAGAAAACCGCGAGGGCAGCAGCGGCAGCGATGGCGACGATCAGGGCAGCCACCAGAGCGAGAAGGAACCCAGACAGCAGGATTCACCCCCACCGGGCGCTGTCGGGGGGCTGGAGCCTGGCAACGCGCAGGAGCCCAGCGTCCACGCCTTCACCCCCTTGCAGCTGCAGGAGCTGGAGCGCATTTTCCAACGCAAGAAGTACCCCAGCGAGTTCCTGCGGTAAGCCCATTGCTGGTTGGCGCGCGGTTTGCAGGGAGCACGTGCTGTTCCAGGGTGGCGTTTGGCTTTCCCCCAGCCCTCTCCTGCCCTCTCCCCTCCTGAACCAAAACCCACCTGGGGCCTGGTGTCGCTGCCGTCCCCTCCCCGCAGACCCCTGGCACCTGGTGGGTTCCGTAGTGGGGCTGTGCCTATTAGGCATCATGTATAATTTAGATGAACCAAGTTGGGCAACTTTCGGCTGAGGTCGGTTATGATAAGTAACTCCTATCGCAGCCGAGACAGAAATAAAGGTTCGGTACAGCAAGTGCAGGGTCGCATCTTGACCTTATTTAAAATTCTGAGAAGTCTGTCGTTCGGCTGGGTTTCCTTTGGTGTTAATTGTTCTAAGTTTCAAATAGTAAGAACATATTTATCTTGATTAACGATTTTTGTTATGTGGGGTTATTTTTTGTTTGAGAAACAGTCTCGCTGGGACACCCAGGCTGGAGTGCAATGGTGCGATCTAGGCTCACTGCAACCTCTGCCTCCCAGGTTCAAGAGATTCTCCTGCCTCAGCCTCCAAAGTAGCTGAGACTACAGGCGCCAGCCACCACTCCCGGCTAATTTTTGTATTTTTAGTAGAGATGGGGTTTCACCATATTGGCCAGGCTGGTCTCGAACTCCTGACCTCAAGTGATCCTCCTGCCTTGGCCTCTCAAAGTGCTGGCATTACAGGCGTGAGCCACCGCCTTGATTTTTTTTTTTTTTGGCATCTCCTTTTATTTGTGACCTGAGAGAAAAGTTCCTAACGTGAGGCTCAGCTGGATGTTACAGAACAGCCTACTGCGTGTGGGGAGTTGGTAGAATAAAAAATTAAACACGAGAATGAAACGACACCCACAACTCCAAATGCTAAACACGTGTGGTTTCTTCCCATAGGAGGAGGCTGGCAAGAAGCATGAATGTGACTGAACTCGCAGTGCAGGTCAGTAAACCGAAAAAGCAGTCGGGCAGGGGAGCCATTCTAAAACCTGCTTCAGGGCTTCGACACAGCTTTGACCCAGACATTGTCATCTTGGTGTTTTTGTGTTTTTTTTCATGTATAGGCAATGAGGTCTGAATTTTGGGATCTTTGTGGCTGGAAAATGCAGCAAGGAAAGCTCAGCTTGTGGAAATTTCCCGTTACCAGAGGGAACATGACTATCCACGGAAAAAAAAATTAGTACTGAACGGTTTCCTTTATTCCTTGTGTATAAAATATATTATGCACTTGAATAAATTATAAATATATAAATATATGTATTCCAAATTACAAATATATATATATAAAATATATAAGAGTGTAAATTAAATATAGCATAATATATAAGATTAAACTCCTAGCACTGGTATCCTTTAGGTAGCACTTCCATGTGGAGGCATCCTGGGGTTTTCTGACCTGGGGATTATTCAAATTAATGCTCCAAAGAGCTCCATTAAACTAAATTATTTAATATATTTGAAACCAAGCATAAACTCTTTGGTTAAGAATTTATAAATGTTTAGGCATTGGGGTAAAGGAATAATTCACAACCAGAATGTATGTTTCCTGAAGCTGAGACTGATGGGGAGGGGATAGCATAAAGTTCAAGTGCCTGGCCCTCCTACTATTGTTTTTAAGTATTTGGTAAAGCCTTGTAGAGAGTGGCAGCTCTAAATTTTAATTTTCTGGAATACTTTGATTTGGCAGCCTGAAAACATTGCTGACATAGTTTTGCATTATGGTACAGATAGCAAAAAGGTTTGCAACCTTTGCAAGTTTATCTACAAATCAAAACAAATTTCAAGATCAATTTTGCATAAATTTCCACCAACCTAAGAAAGATAGAAGTGTTAGGCAAGAATTGTATACAGTCACACTCATGGCTTGGGGAAACTGCTCCCATTCAACTTTTGAAACTACCAAATGCATCAGTGAATATTTTCTTGAGCAACTTCTAGCATTTAAGAGATTTTTGGTTTCTTCCAGTTTGTTGTACTAATAGGAAGAGATGTGTTTTGTGTTATATGTTGATAGTGGGGGATGGCTCTCAGGTCAGGCTAGACTCTTACCTGTGGCAATTTGAAATACCTTTTTGGCCGGGCGCGGTGGCTCAAGCCTGTAATCCCAGCACTTTGGGAGGCCGAGACGGGCGGATCACGAGGTCAGGAGATCGAGACCAGCCTGGCTAACACGGTGAAACCCCGTCTCTACTAAAAAATACAAAAAACTAGCCGGGCGAGGTGGCGGGCGCCTGTAGTCCCAACTACTCGGGAGGCTGAGGCAGGAGAATGGCGTGAACCCGGGAGGCGGAGCTTGCAGTGAGCTGAGATCCGGCCACTGCACTCCAGCCTGGGCGACAGAGCGAGACTCCGTCTCAAAAAAAAAAAAAAAAGAAATACCTTTTTATTTGCTCAGGCAGTGATAATAAATTTGTAGGTCAATGGATCCAAAGGAATATTTGCAAAAAAGGAAAAGAAGAAAGAAAAATCGGGATGACCCTAATAGCCTTTCTGCAGAGCTCATGTTTGTGAGTGCAGTGAGGGAACTATGCTGCGGTTCTGTCAATGGTGGCATGTAGAAAAGCAGCCTGACAAAATGGGGCACTGAGTGTTGACATCCTGTTGCCCATCATTTTCAAAGGCAGGCAATGCCAATTTGGGGGAGATGAAATATTGACGTTTGGGTGAATTGCCTTTCCCTTCCCTGGGTTTACATAGCATTCACTCAATGCAGTTCTGAAGGCAAAAGGACCACTCTCACTCAGCAAACAAGGGAAAAGGCATGATGTTCTCATTTATTGCCAAACATTTCAGCATGAATATCTCCAAAAAATTTTAATAGACGTTTCCTCCCTCTGTATTGTAAAGATAATAAGGGCTGTTTTATGAAACCAACACTGAGAATGGGGACCTAATGTTGGCCCATAGCACATTTAGCCCACTTTTGGCATTACTTATGTTTATGAACCTTTGACCACAGCTACATTGCAATTGCCTCTAAACAAGCACTATTACAGTAGGCTTAAAATTTAGACTATATATTCATGAGGGAGAAGGACTCCGAACAGTAAGATGGGAGAAGGAAATGGGACATCAAACAGGGAGAGGAGTCCCTTTGTCCCGTAAAATTTGCAGTTTGGGAACTTCTAGAAGGATCAAAATGCAATGGAAATGTCATTAACTAGAAGCTTGGGGGATAGTGTTGTTTAATGGACAGGTTTTATTTTTTGGTCTTTTAACAGTAGGCAGGTGTTTAGGGAATAGTGTTTGTTGATACCTCCTCCACATTACTACTGAACATGTTCAGAGATGCCTATTTGGACACTCCCGCTTTGGGGATGCTGATGAGATTGGGATCTTCTGTTTGAGTAGTGAGGCTAGATGGCTGATGGTGTCCCATGGAGCTGGGCAACCAAGTCTCTCCCACATCCTGGGACTGGGGAAAACCAAGTGAGCTGACCTTGTCCTTAGCCTGGGAAGAGTTGGAGGGAGGGATACGTTGGAGCATGCAGAATTAGCAATGCTTCCTTTCTCTCCAACTCTCAACTGGGCAAAGCTTTTTGAGAATTTTTGTGAATTTGGACAACATTTGTGTCCTCCTTTCACAAAACTTCAAGCTGAAGTGTGAAGACAGTGTCTAGGGCTTCAGATACCCTCATTTCCCAGCAAGACAATCCATAAACTCCCTGAGCCCCCTGTAACGAGACTTGCCTTGCAATATACCATCTTTTTAATTCTCAAGGAGTTTCGGAAAATGAATGACCCATTAGAGGTTCTTGAAGGAAAGAAAACTTGTTTTAAAATACAATGTACTCTTACTGATTTTTTACTTTACACTGAAGATGGGCTTTTCAAAATGGGGGCCTCATCCTCTTGGTATGACTTTAAAAGGCACCCTCCCCATTTTTTCCAAGCTCAGCTTCCCCCACGACCAGGGTGACAGTGGCCTAGTAAGTAGTAGTTGGTGGGCAGCGGGATAGCTGATGGTCAGGTATCTGCAAGCAGATATGCCACACATAGCAATACCAGGAGGGACCGAGTTCCACTCATCAGCTACACCTGCACCCAAGAGTGGAAAAAGTAGTATTACAGATGAAAGGACAGAGACAAAGAAATAAGCCAAGCCAGAGCATACGTAGCACATACTTGGAGCTCACTATGGAAATGTGTGGTGTTCACCTTTCTAAGATATTTTAGTAGTCAGGAAGTAGCTTGCCTTGATGCACCAGAAAAGGTTAAGGGCAGAGAGAGTTGCTTGTTGTGTGTTTTCCCATGATGAAATTAAATGCTCAATATACTAAACCTGTTTCTTTTTTCCTCTGATTGAAGATTTGGTTTGAGAATAGAAGAGCCAAGTGGAGGAGACATCAGAGGGCATTAATGGCGAGAAACATGCCGCCCCTCATGGTCGTGGGCCAGCCTGTCATGGTAACTGCAGTTGAGGCCATAATGGCACCCTTGTCCATCAGCGGGATGAGAGATGGTTACTTCTGGGGCTACGGCCATTCCAGCACCCTGGGTTTCTCCATGTCACCCTTTCCTCCTCCGTCCTTGCCCCTTCCAACTGTGTTTCTTCCACCTATGCCTCCCTCTGACGAGGCCCAATTTGGCCGGTTCCCTTTTGTTATCATGCATTCTTTCACATTCCCCAATGTGTAAGGGATACCCTCTGTGCCACTTTTTGCCAGAGCGTGTTTGAGCCAGTTTCGTAGTTTGCGTAGCACCCCATCAAGAGTAGTTCATCAAATGTCTATTAAATGTTTTAAAGAAAAGTAGATTATTGACCCATTTTTAGGGCACTTTTAAAAATGTTTCTATAAATATGTGGAGGGTATGTACATTTGTTTTGTGTGTCACATGGGGTCAGTAAGTTCTGAATAAAAATTGTTAAGAAATGCCATTCAAACCGAATGTCACGGACTCGACTCTCATGCAGTAATCTTGAGTCACCATCTGGGGGTTGTGCATGTCACAGAAGTTTCCCATGTGCCCATGGCAGGCTTACACTGACCCACACATTCTCTTCCACCCCCACCCCCAACATCCCATACTCATCTCCTCTCTGCCCCATTGATACCAGATACATGTGCAAGATGGGGTGGTGTGAGTCCCTAATGAGAGAATAGTGTGTTTCAAGGCACTGCCAGGGTGGAAAACAGCAAAACCAAAATGGTATCGGGAAGGAAGCCAGCCCACTCTTAAAAATTCATTAAGTTTTTTCTTGCTATGGAAGACTTCTTTAAAGTAATTTTCTTTTAAAAATGTAAATGGCTGGGCGCGGTGGCTCAAGCCTGTAATCCCAGCACTTTGGGATGCCGAGACAGGCGGATCAAGACCATCCTGGCTAACACGATGAAACCCTGTCTCTACTAAAAAATACAAAACACTAGTCGGGCGAGGTGGCGGGCGCCTGTAGTCCCAGCTACTTGGGAGGCTGAGGCAGGAGAATGGCATAAACCCAAGAGGCGGAGCTTGCAGTGAGCTGAGATCAGGCCACTGCACTCCAGCCTGGGTGACAGAGCGAAACATCGTCTCAAAAAAAAAAAAAAAAAAAAAAAAGAAAAAAAGTAAATGTAAATAATGCCATGAAATTATACACTGATTTAATGGCTAAAATGGCAAATTTTCATATGGTTTACCACAACAAAAGAAAAGAAAAAATATACCAAAAAGTTTTTAAAAAGTGATTATGAACATTATGGTGATCCGGTGAAGTGATTGCAATGCCTGCCGATAAGGAGTCATGGTTACAACAATGTTTTCTCTGCAAATTATTTGATGGCCACTTTCACAATGCTTATGTTTTCAGCCTGACGGAAAATTCCATTTTCTTGGGTGAGCATGAACTTTCTGTCAAGCTGTCTGCTGCTATTCATTCCCCACTTCTCTCTTTACAATTGTGGGTGTCAAGCTTCAGCCACACAATTGCATTTGATGTGAGGGTTTTGCAAGGAGAAGGAGGTTTCTTCGTACCCCTGAAGTCACAAGCCTTGGTGGGAATAGGGAAAGTCCATGAATTCACTATGCATTTATGCATGCCCTTGGGCCAAGTGGATTCTTTTTTCTTCTTCGATTGAGATTCTCCCTTTCTTTCTTTCTTTCTTTTTTTTTTTTTTTTTTGCTATTGTTCTCATTGTATTGTGCTTTGTATAATTATTTACAGTAAGTCCCACATGTCAGTGTACATTCAGTCGGGAAATTGTTTCCATTTGGTACATTTTGTTCCAGTCTGTCTATTCCTGCTCATTATTTTGTTTTTTCTACATTCAGACTGAAACATTTGGTAGCCTAGAGGTACTCAGAAATAGGCAAAGAAAGGTAAAAGGGGAGGAGGGGAGATTGAAATCATACTTCCATTATCTCTCCCCGTGGTTATCAGATTCATAACACGTGGTCCCTGGGCAAGATTATCACCCCAAGTAACAGAAAAGATAAGAAAGGGAAAGGAGAGAGAGAAAAGCATTGCCTGTGGCAGGGTGGGGAAGGTGAAGAGCTCAAGGAGGCCAGAGAAGGAATCACCCATTCACTGCAATGACACTGAAAATGAAAAGTTCAGGTGACCACTTGTCAGTAGTGAAGGGATCTTTTCCAGCAGTTCCATCAGCTGTCAAGATTCCCCTTTTGGGGAGGAAAAAGCTCCCATCTTCCATGGTCCCGCACATGCCTAATCCTGTCACCCATAGCCGTCAGCAAAAAGTGTAAGACAGATTAATCCAAAGAGAATAGCACTTAACATTCCATGGTGCCAAACCCGTCCTTAGCCAAAAGGGATTTTACCAAGAGCCCTCATTTTTCAATGTATTTCAATGTGGTGTTGGTCATTTGGAACGTTCCACTGTAAGTTCAAGTGATTCTCCTGCCTCAGCTTCCCGAGTAGCTGGGACTACAGGTGCGTGCCACCACACCCAGCTAATTTTTTGTATTTTTAGTAGTGATGGGGTTTCACTGTGTTTAGCCAGATGGTCTCAATCTCCTGACCTTGTGATTCACCTGCCTCGACCTCCCAAAGTGCTGGGATTACAGGCGTGAGACACCGCACCCAGCCTCTTGTTCTCTTATTTTCTTCCAAACATATGGAAACTCTCTCTGTTCTGAGCCAACTAAAGCTGGGGGTGGAGTGACATAGGTATTAATACCCCTGTGGCCGCCACCACAATGACTGTGCTGGGTCAGACCTGAAGCCACCCAGCACTGGGTCTCACCCAAGGCCTGTTGTAACCACTCCCTGGCTACTGCCTGTTTGCTTAAGGCCCTGGGTGCTACAATGAGCAGGTGGCAAAGCCAGCCAGGCCTGTGTCCTTCCCTCCAGGTCAGTGAGTTCCCCTAGGCCCCAGGTGGGTCTAGAAGTATCATCCAGGAGTCAGGGACTACAGTCAAAGAAATATAAGTCTACCTGGTGTTCTGTTGTATTGCAGCTGACCTGGCACTCAAACCACAAGACCTAGTCCTTCCTGCTTTTCCCTCCCCTTTCCAAAGGCAGAGGAGCCTCACTCCATAGCCACTGCCACCCCTGACCACAAGGAGTACTGAAAGACTACCACCGATGTTCCGTTAAGGCCCAAGATCTCTTAAGTTAGCTTGTCTTGAAAGCTGCGTGGCCTGGGACTCACCCTTCAGGGCATTGAGCTCCCTTCTGGCCTGGGACAGGTCCAGAAATGCTGTCAAGTCCTGGAATCTAGAATCCTAAGAACCTGCTTGGTGCTCTAGCCCCTGTGGCGGTGTTGGTACCTGAAGCCAGCAAGTCTCAGAAGCTCATGATGGCCCTCAACATGGTGCCTGCGTATTGCTGCTAGGTATTCAGGGTTCAAGGGCTCTTCAGTTAGCAGGTGATGAATTCTGGCAGGATGGGGTCCTTTCCTTCAAGGCAGTGGGTTCCCTTCTGGCCCAGGGTTTGTCTAGAAATGTCATCTGGGAGCTAGGGCTGGAACAGGGGCCTGATGACTCTGACTGGAGCCCTATCTTGCTGTGACTGAGTTGGTATCCAAGATGCAAGACAAAGTCCTCTCAACTCTTCCCTCTCCTCTCCTCAAGCAGAAGGAAGGGTCTCTTTTAGAGCCACATGCTGTGCATCCTGGGGTTAGGGGAAAAGTGATGCCAGCGCTCCCTTGGCTGTCCCAGCTAGTGTCTCAGTACGTTGTGCCCCACCCCTGCCAAGTCCACTGTGTCTGGACCTAGTTCAGCCCTAGGACTCACCTAAGAGTTGAAGTCCTTATGACCTAGGCTGCCTTTCAAGTTTAGTTAGAGACTGAGAGCACTTTGGCCCTTCATGGTGAGGTTTGCAGGTACTCAAGTTCAGACTGCTGGGATCAGTAATTCCCCTCTGGCTAGGGCTGGTTTAAATGCTCCTTCTGTGAGTGGGCATCAACTGAGTTTGGTCTGGTTTTCCTTTCTGCTGTAACAGGACATTGCTGAGATCAATGCTTCACAATTGAACTGTGAAGCAAAAGAACTGTGTTCTCCCTTCCCCAGTGTCCAGAGACACTCTCCACAGCACGTCATGGCTGTGAGGGTCAGGGAGGGGTACCGTTGGTGATTCAGGATTGTTTTTTCTATCTCTTCAGTGCCTCTTTCAGTGATATGAAATTAAAACCAGGTACTGTAAGTGCTCACCTGATTTTTGGATTTGATGAAGGTGTTTTTTTCTGTGTAGGTAGTTGTTAACTTGGTGTCCTTGCACAGAGTCGCAGGAGGACGATCAGTGGAGCTTTCTATTCTGCCATCTAGCTCTGCCTCCTTTCCTAGCCACATTTTCCCCTGCTTCCCGCTCCGCCCCTGGGTGCTGAGCACATGAGTCTTCAGAACACACCAAGCTCATTCCCACCTTGGGGCCTTTGCACTGGCTGTTCTCTCTGCCTGGAATGCTCTTCCTACAGGTTTTTGCATGGCTGCCTCCTTTATTGCATTCATGATTCTGCTCAAATGCCCTCCCTAAGCACCTGAGCTAAGATCCCCAACCCCACAGTGTCTCTACTTTTTTGTTTGGTTATTGGCTTTCTTGTTTAATCTCTGTCTTCCTACAAGAGGGCAGGATTCAGAATTTAAACAGTGCCCTGACACATAGTGAGAGCTCAGTCATCTTCTGTTAAAGATAAAAATGAAGCCACAGTTTAGGTATACCCGAAGGCCAACCACTCATAACCATGCAACCAAAATTTAATTCATCCCGATTTCCCCAAACACCATCTCTAATCATAAATACCAAACATAACCTTTACATCTTTGTCAGCATGATTCAGTGAAATTAAACCAATCAGCTATAGGCAAATCAGTTTAAACAACTCTGTTTACCTTAAAAAGAATGTTAATGTAAAACAGCCAACCACAAAAAAAATCAAAATATTCTCCTTTATGCTTTATAAAGTGTGCTATGACTGCCATAAAGTGAGCTTTCTACCACTTTGTTTGAAGTCTCCTGGATCATGAGCTGTACTTTCTCTTACTATGTAACAGTAAACTTTAAAATGTTTCCTAACTTGATCTGATTCTAATTTTGACACTTCCAATAATCTTGAGAAATGCTCCTGAGCACTTTGGATCTGGTATTCTTAGGGCAAACATTCTCATTTTTCAAAGCAGAAATTGAGGCCCAGAGAGAGACAGTGACCCGCCTCAAGTCATCAAGTTCCAGCACTCTCTTTCCTTACTCCCTCGTTCTCCTGGTCTTGGGGACATCAGACATCTTTAAACATTTGGTCTCACTGTAGAAACTTTGAGACTCAGTGTTCCCTAGAGGGACAGAACTAATAGGATATATATATGTGTGTGTGTGTGTATATATATATGTGTGTGTGTATATATATCTCGTCCATATATATATATATATCTCCTCCATATATATATCCTCCATATATATATATCCTCTCTCTATATATCCTCCATATATATATATATATATATATATATGGAGTTAA